CTCCGAATTGGTTAATGAAGACGGGCATATGCCATACATTGTGGTATGGATGAAAATTTGTCCGGACAGCGGCACTACGCACTACTCTTATGTCGGGATCCAACTACCAATGGTCCTTTTACGTTCACGCCAATGTGTACGTGGGGCCTCTGTTTTTCGTCCCAATCGAACAACTAGACACTGTCCTTGTCTAGTCCTCCGTGCTATACCACTGACAAGAGAACCCATACAATTAAGCAGGATGCACATTGATTCCATTAAAACAGCTTTGTGTCCCTGACGTGTCTTATTTGTCATGTTCTACCCACAGATTAGAACGTGAAATCGCATCCCACCAAACAAATCCGAAACAACCATGAAACAACACTACGATTGGGAAATAAAATCAAAGAAAGTTCCTATGATTTCAAAATGGCGGTGTACAGTAAATTGAAGTAAACTGCTTCAATGCTTTTAATTTTATGCAATTAGCGACTTTCAGTTCACATAATAATATAGAGAAAAATTTTCTTGAGGCGAGTCGCTATTTTGAATAGTACGTGATACTGGCGCTTTTAAATCTAATTGGTCCGGTTAAACGATAATGACTTCGTTTATCACCAGATCAACCTATTATATTACGGTCTTGTCATGTTTAATAAATGTCTAAATAATAATTTATATAAAATTTGAAGCAAGAAAAAAAAGACTAAAAATTGATCGTCTTTTCCTCAAAGGAAAATAGCTTGAATAAAGAAGATTTATTTAATTAAAAATATGAACAAACACAGCAGCTGTGAAATGAAAGAAAAGAGTAGGCCGTAGCACCGTTGCCCAGGCAACATTTCCCTCATAGCACACTGCATGGCTTATGCCTATCTTCATTAGCCTAACCGGAACAGGGAAATAGGACGTTAAATCCCATTTCATTTCATTTCTGTTCTTGAGAACGTCTTCATTAGCCTATGGCCGGAGCAGAAAAGTAGGACGGTAACCCTCATTTCATTTTCTGTTCTAGAGACCTTCTTCATTAACCCAGTCTGTGCGGACCAGAAGTACGTTAAAACTCATTTCATTTCGTTTAGAAGAAGAATACCAAGAGTTCAACCAACTTCCTCCTTAAGAAAGGAAAGAAAGCAATTGTGCTAAACTTAAAAAAAAAACATCATGTAAATATAAAATTAAATGTGGAAAATAACGAACTGTTGTCGCTATTCTGGAACACAAATGTCATAGGAACCTGAAAAAACGGAAGTTAAAGAAAACCTGATAGATCTACAGAAATGATCGATTTAATTGAAGTAACGAACTTCCGGCAAGTATTCTTACCGGTACTTAAGTAGAAAAGGGCGTTCTTACACTTAAAAAAATTTCAAGTAACTTTAATAGTTAATAAGGTGACAGGTTTTTTTTTCTGGGTAACTACAAATTTTTTTGTATTATTCTATAGAACATCACGACATACTGAATTATGTTTCAATTCCATGTTGTTATCATAGACGTGGTTTATATAACTATGGGATTTTATTTGTTGGGGAAATATTTCGTAATAGGTGAATAAAAGATCAATCAAAATCTGTTAAATTATCCGACCGTGCGTTCTAATGGTTAAAATACCCGACCGTGCTTCCTAGCCGTTAAATTATCTAACCTGGGGCCTGTTTCACGAAATTTTAACTAAGATAAAATCCAAATTTTAGTAATGTGATTGGATAATATTAGATTGATTTTAGTGCTTAGCCAATCAAAATTGAAGTATCTACTAAAATTTACATTTTATCTTTAGTTAAAATTTCGTGAAACAGGCCCCTGCTTCCTAACCGTTAAAATATCCGACGGTATGCTTACTGTTAAAATATCCGACCGTACTTCCTAACCGTTAAAATATCCGATCGTGCGTCCTAACCGTTGAAATATCCGACCATGCGTCCTAACCGTTTCAATTCCATGCTGTTATCTTCGATGTTATCTTGGGTTGTATTTGTTGGGGGGGAGTCACTTAAAATCTAGAAATTCTGTAACTCGTTTAAGTGAAAACATGCCTGAACGTTAAAATATCCGACAGTGTCCTTATTGTTAAAATATCCGACAGTGCGTCCTAACCGTTAAAATATCCGACCGTGCGTCCTAACCATTGAGATGGGGTGTGATGTCCAAACTCTGCGTCTCTGTGTGTGAAATAGCTTTATTTAACATCCGCTTCCACCGAGGTGATATCGCGTCTCTGCCACAACTTCATGTTTTATTGTGATTAGATATACATGCAAACACCTCTTATTATACAAAGATATCATCTTTATCAGCTGGTGATATTAATTAACATGTCCTCACATTTTATAGTCGACATAAATCGAAGGAACTTTCTGTAGCGTGGTTTAATTAATATCACATGTTAACACATATCTTACACTCAACTTGTAAACGTAGGCTTACCAAATTAGCCTGGAAGCTACAATCACATGTTTGTAGACATTAATCAGGAAATATGATTAAGCCTGTTTATCTTCGAGGTGTGATAGATTCTTAAAAATCCATTATGTAAGAGCTAAATCTGTCTATTGCGGGTCTCTCTCTGGCTTCAAATGTTATGTAAACTATTATTTTGAGATTTATTCACTGATATCGAATGGATTAGAACAGCCGCGCCATTTAATAATTTAAAGTAAAAATGAATAGTGGATAGATTGTTTATTATCGTAGCAATGGTACTTGACAATTGAGATTATCTTGTCAAAACTTCCTTCGTTCAAAATAAAGTAATTTGCCTGAAATGTGCAATATATTCATTTATCATTATCTATTTTTGAACTAGTACAGAAATAACGCCAGTAATTTCTCTAAACCTTACATAATAGATCTCTAAAGGAACACTAGCACACCAGACAAGCTATGTTCGCAATTTTTGTTAGAATGCGAATATCACAGTATTTTTGACGAATTGTACACCCAAGGCCTCACATGAAAAATTTTCCGATGCTTTAAACCAACAATTGAATGCTGATTAATTTCATTGCAAAATAAACCGGTCGTTGTCATTAGAATTGGACCAGTTTAATTCGATCGCAGTCGAATCTGAAAGCTGATTTTTGGTAAATAAATTAAATGGAGTTTAACGTCAAACATGATTCTGTTTCAAGTAAGAAGTGTTAAATGGCTTATACTTTCATATTAAACAAACAACACCGCCATTATTACACAATTCATATCCCTGGTAACGAGTAGCCATTAAAAGCATTAAATAAATTCAAAACCTAATCGACAATCACAACAAAAAACATGAATGCAATGGGTTTAATTTCTTACACTAATTAAGCTAATGAAGGCGACCGTGACAAAAGAAAGATTGTGTCGGAAAAAGCAGAAACATATACACAACAAAAAAATAAAAAAAATTGATAATGTACGAAATGGGTTTAACTTTCATTGGACTTATGAAAACGGTTTCAACAAAAGAAAGGATATGCCAGTAAAATCAGAGATATATACACAAAAGAAAAATAATAAAAGGTATACATGAAATGATTCAAGGAAGTAAAACCATTGAAAATATAACTCGTTTTCAATTTGTTTTTATGAAATATGCCATGACACAACCTACGCCATAATGATGAATGGTTGGTTTTATAATACAGCTTTTATTGTTAGTTAGATCTTAAGTATAATGCCACCCATTACTCATCAGAAGAATATAAAACACATTTGATTATAATACACGCAAAAGTCTGCACAAGAAGGAAACAGATGATAAAGTAAAAGTCCATTAGCAGGCCGGTCCAGCACATTAGATGTCAAGTCAAATAATAAGATTAATACAAACATTTCATGTGGTGAATTGTCACAGAACGCTGTCAAATACAATGACTTAATATCCATGTAAGATTAATTTTCACATGCGTACGTACATCGTTCTTGAAATGGCAATAATTTCCAGATCTTTTTGTTCACTAAATGTAGGTCTCTCAACGAAACTAATTGAATGAACTCTTTGTCAGATATAAAAATATATGGCATGGTGTTTAACGTTTCGTCAGCACGGTAGTTCGTTTATTTTGACAAGATAAAAGAACATTGGTAATTACATTTTATTGTCAAATGAAAGGATATTAAATTTGGCCCCGTCCTTTCCTTCATATTGCAGATTGGTAATTGCCTTCCGGCGCCAAAGTAAGTTAATGGGGGATATTCCGTACTTCCTTCCATATTGTGTTTCCGGTGCATATTTCATAAACCGCTGTTTAGTAGTTGTTCCTTTTGCTTATTTCTTGGGTTTAATAAAGAATACCTCTTCTATCTGGTGTCTTAGATCCGCCGAATAGTGTGTTCGCATTTTGCAATAGATGGACGGAGAACAGGGAAAATCGAATTTGAGATAAAACTGTTATAAAAAGGAAGTCTATGCCGCTTGCACAAGGTTTCAGGGAAAGATGGTGGTGGTGGTGTGTGTGTGTGTGTGGGTGTGTGGGCGAGGGGGGGGGGGGGGGTAACACCAGAAGGCCACGGACAGATATATTCTGTTCTTTGTAAACCAACATTTATTAACAGTAAAAGAATTGCATATCGACATCGAAAAGATATACTTCAAACATGGTGAACGTCTTACTCCGCACTACACATGGGCGGAATATTATGGATTGGTACATATGTCATAATTAGTTTACAATATTCTGGATGGACTTCTATTTTACGTTTCTCTGTTGTGTTAAATGTGCAGACATCACAAGACACACAGATACAAATGATTGGCAGACAGTCGGATCAGCCCGTTTTTCGAAAGGCGGGGACAAAGAATTATAACAAATCCAAAGCGATATATTATCACCACCACAAATTCAAAGAACATAATCTACCATAAAAAGATTAACATCTTTCTAACAATCTTTCATTTCTTTCTTCAGGTCTGGAAATTACCCAAGATGTCGGAACTGGAGACAAGTTAAGATATATTAAACAAGAACTTACCGATACGCCTTGAAATTTAATCTGCTCAATAAGATTATAAAATAAGTTCATTAATCCGTCAATATTGGTGTAATTAACACGTGAAAACATGGATTCCGTTACGTTATATTCCGTCATCAACCCAGAATGGAGGGCACTTTTGATTGTTAAGGCAATGGTCCACATTGTATCATAACTAGTCTCAGCGTACATACTTTTAGGCTGACTCCCATTACTGCTATAATAATCCGTAAGAAATTCCGCTGAACTCTGAAATAAATATAAACAAAATTACGTGTTTTACTATGCTAGTAATTATGAAAGCGGTTATTCGTAAGGGTGGGGTGGGGTAGGGTTAAAGCAAATTACGTTTTTAGTATCCTATAGCTATGGAAGGGGTTATTCGTAACCATAGTATTTAGGGTAGGGTTTAGTGTTAACGCGAGGAGAGATATGGTGGGGGTGGGGTGGGGTGGGGTGGTTGGTTGACGTCCACTTGACACAAACTTTGTCATTTCGGGACTAACATATGGTGTGATTTTTTTATTTCAATAATTCGCTTGCGCGTAGGGGCCTTTAGCTGGTGGGGGGGGGGTGCCGGAGGACCCGGAGAAAACCCACGAGGTTGAACAGGCCACCCTACTCCTTGGCACGTCCAAGCGGGGAATCGAAACCACCCACTTGACTCAATGACAGACCTTCTGATTCAACGCACACGCGTTAACTATTCGGTCACCCACCCGTTTAGGGTTAAAGTAAATATAATCAAAACTGATTATTTTATATTTAATAAGGAAAATAAAACCGAATTATCATCAGCAGATAACCTCCCTGCTGGATTAAAACTAATTAATTAAGAACAGAAACTCAAAATATCAACGGTATATAATTCCCTGTTTGTACTCAATCAGATTAAAAATATGCCAATAGAATTTATCCAACACATATACATGACGTTGGCTTGGTTGTGTCGTCTACAGGGGATGGCGAATATTGCAGAATGTTCCATTCCTAAATAGCCCATCATGATTCACACTAGTATTATACAGCGTTTGAGAAATATTCCCTTATTGTTAGTTCATTTTGAGTGAATTCTGTATCACTACAGAACCGGGACTGTAGACCGCAGTGGACGCTTACGCTTACGACTAGCCCCTGGATCGATTCACTTGATCTGGTGTGTACGTTTGTTGTTTGTGATATCTGCATATTGTTTCTTGTCCGTAGATTTGTCTTGTATATATGTTTTTGTGTGGTGCAGCCCCCCCCCCCCCACCCTGGAAATTAGCCATTTTAGACTTTTCAATATTCATCTTTCACAAAAGTATAGTTGGCACGGGATTTAAATTCCCTCAAATAGCTGCTCAGCTACTTTATTATCATATAATCATATAATTTGTCTTGTCTCCGTTTAGAGAAATCCAAAGCACACCGAAGCGCACTGATTGTGTGATGTTATTCCTAAGACTGAATTGCTCTGGACAGATGATTATTGCTCATGGTAATTGCGATATCACACATTTCCACTGTGATATCGCAATTAGAATTGGCTTCTGGGAGATTAAGAATCCAAACTTGATACACTAAGAATTATTGTGCTCAGGCCATTAAATATACTTCTTTGGGCTGATCGATTCTAGTTTAAAGATACATTATGTAAAATTTAGATAAAGAGCTAGCCATTCTTGCTATAATAGTTCGAAAATAGATAATTTAAAATTAATATTTTAAAATTTCATTCAAACTACTCTATTGCGCGAAGATATTAGCATTTGAAGGTTTGACATTTTTAGCTGAAATCAAAATATGGCTGAACTGTTCTAATCTATTTAATATCGGAGGAACCCGATGCCATCGAGAGTTGATTTTGGCCTGGATAAGTTAATTAATGTCTAATTAATAATTTAGAAAAAATTTCAGGCCTAAAGAAAGACCCGCAATAGGCAGATATAGCTCTTGCATAATGTATGTTTAAATACTGACTGTACCATTTTTTATCTTTAATCAAGTTCAAAAATATATAAAATCAACTGAAAGGTTCAATGGGTAATATTCGTAGTGTAGTTTTCATTTTCTGTTCTATTCCGCACAAATGTAAAAACGTTATTTGGTTGGGATTTTTTTTTTATTTTGTCAAATTTTTGATTCCGTTTTTTATTCGTAAGGGTGAGATATCCATATTGAATTTCAAAACACGACACTAAATCCTTCAATGAGATTGTATGGATATGTATAAAAATTTAAGAATTTGACTATTTATTATAACATTTATATCTCCCAGTTTTTTGTTCTTAACAATTGTACTATTATAACTGTCAATTACATTGTATGTGGGGAGAGGGCATTGGTAAGTTTTTGTAACTTTTGTCCCAATCCTTTTGGGATAGCAGATTGGGGGAGGCGATCAAGCCAGGTGGGGGTTTACCTTACCTCAAATCCATAATCGGTCTGAAATATAAGCGTTCGGATAAAACGAAAAATCGAGGTACCGTGTACAGATAGGCGTTCACGTAAAAAATCCTTGACAGTTGGAATTAGAGAGTCTTCATTAGACCAGTCTATGCAGAAAAGTTAAAGCCCGTTTCATTTCAACTTGTTTGAAATAGTCTATCCCATGATTTATTTTGACGAGTTTTGCACCTACCAAATTAGCCAATGTTTTTCCTTCATTATGTAAGCTCTTGACGCTGGAAACGGTTATAAAGCCTGCCATTGCTTTCTTGATTTGGTGTGGCGTGCACGTGGTGTCCGAGGTCAAATTTAACCACGTATATCCACCAATTAAGATCCATACGTATCGAGCACCGTACATTCCAAGTTTATAAGCCTGAAACGAACAAATGAAAGAAAATTGTAGGGTTATACAATAATAGATTATCATATCACTTGTTCTTTCACTGGCAAGGAACAGCGTCTGATTTGGGGTCCCTTGTATCACTGGCTTGCACGTAAAAAACAAACCTTGACAGATGGAATTCGATATAAGAGTAGGTTTTATCGCCGCTGTCCGGGAAAATATCCGTCATGAAAAACAATGTAGTCTCGATCTTCATTACTACCGGTGTTATGATAATAAACAAAGTCTCGATTATCCACTTTTTAATTAAATTATTAACTGACAATCCTTTTTAACCGCGTTTAAAAAAAACAAAACAACATCCGATGGTCTAATTTCTAATTAATGACGTATATAACATTTGAGGTCAAACGGAAGATCTGCATTAGGCAGATTTAGCTCCTACATAATGCATATTTAAATCTAACACAAAATGAAATGAAATTGGGTTTAACGTTCTTCTGCTCTGCACGGCCTGGGCTAATGAAGACGGGCTTACGCCACCCAGTGTGATATGAGGGAAAGTTTGCCCGGACAGCGGCGCTACCGCCTACTCTTATATTGAATTCCAACCGCCAATGTGTATACGAGACCCGGGTTTTTCGTCCCATCCGAACAACTAGACTACTGCCCTTGTCAGACTCTCCGTCCCGCAGCACTGATAAGGAGTAACCACCCCGGTAAATCCGAATGAATTTTCTCGTCTAACACCGAGATCGAACTAGCGATCCCAAGCTAACGAGCCAGCGTCTTACTCACTTAACCACCAGATCATCAGATCACAAGTGCAATTGCCCTCGACAAAGAAAAACAACAAACAAAACATACAAAGAACAGATCAGACAAATCAAACCCACATGTTAACAAAAATAAATGTACCTCACAAAACACTTGTCTGGCAGCTTGGTCAGAGAAACCACCAATTATAATTCTAACATCCTGCTCCTGAAAAAAAAAGAAAGTTCATTTAAATATGACAGACAGAAAACCTCAACACATCCCATTAAATAAAATACCCGAACTATAGCACATACTTATGGAAGAACAATTACTAAATCATTTATTGGGCGATGTTTCAAAGAGTATATAGAAATCGCCCGATGTGACACTATGGTTACACTTATCCTGGATTACAGCTTCCATTCGTCTCGAACTTTACGTTGTGTACTTTTTTACTCAACGATAACCCTGGAACATTGTGCTGTTATAAATATATTTATATATCTTTATAACAATCATACTATAAAGGTTATATACATGAAACTACACACCAGCTATGACATTAAATATCTAAATATAAGTTCCACATAAGTTCTTCTTTCTAATTTTTGCGATATGATACTTTCCCCCGGAACGCTGCATGATGTCTATCTCGGCGTCTAAGCCGAGGCGACTAAGGTATGTCTCTCTAGGAACACTACGTGTTATTATTCGGGCACCCAATTACGTCAACCTTATTTTATAAAATTGGGCTAATCTGTACTATACCAGATGGCCGGAGACCACAGGCCTGAAGTCTGCTTATTAACGTAATAGAATCTCATTTTTAACGAAACGTGACAACACTGGCAGGAACTGTCAGTGAGTTAAGTCTAAGAAAGTAAAATCTTTCAAGGTACCTAATTATCCCGAATCTAGCTGTCACCTATTTGTAGGTAACAATTTCCATATATATGTACATGTAACTAATTAACTGGCTCCTATAGACATAGTATTACATCAGTTGCCGCTAACTGAACTCTTTAGATGGCATAATACCATGATCTTATTTCAAGGATGCAAAACCCCACCTTATTCTAGATTGCATATAACTAATCCATGAATGGTGAAAAAGGACATTTTAATTCATGTAAAGGGCGCCATTTTTAGCAGCACCCTGTCTGTACAAGAATGTACGAGTATATAATATACCTATTTGGAATAAAATTATCTTTTTGAGATATAAATTTTCTGTTTTTATGTAAATCTTTATTATGTATATTTCGTTCGTTGGTGATATACGCAATGCAATAATACTAGGAGATTGTCTTTTTTTTAGGCCTTAAACGTTATATAAATAGTTAATTAGACATTTATCAACCATAATCAACTCTCTAGGCTATAGGGTGCTCTTGTTTTCAGCGGATTTAAAAAAGATTGGCAGTTAATAATTTAATTAAAAAATGGACAATCGAAACTTTGTTTATTGTAACAACTGTAGCAGTTATTATCGAGATTTGGAATGAAGTAATTTTTGCTGAACTTGTTAACATAATCCCTTTTCATTATCTACTTTTTAAGTATTATGGCGAGAACTGTCGGCTCTTTATCTAAATCTTACATAATGCATTTTTAAGGGTAGCACTTGAACAGGAGGACATTTTCTGAAAACTGACTTACGAGTAGCTGCTGTCAATCTGATCTATCTTTTGTTAGAATATAGACACAGAAGAACACATATAACAGCATCTCCATGTTGAAGTTTAGGATATGCTAATAATTATATTATATTATTTGCGATAGAGAAGCGGACGCTAACCTCCAGAGAGAGAGAGAGAGAGAAAGAGCGCGCGAGAGAGAGAGAGAGAGAGAGAGAGTAACGTACATCCCCATGCGACACAAACTAAGTCATTTCGAGACTAAAATATGATCATTTTAATAATGTGCTTGTGCGTGTGGATCATTAATAGTGTGAGGAAACTGGAGGGCCCAGAGAAAACCCACGACGTTGGAGTTAACATACATCTTTTTAGATTTACTGCAGAATACTTCCCGGCTGTTATAAAACAAAAAAAAATACGGAATTAGCTCATCACACACTTCGATCAGTAGCCATTATACTCATCCATTTTATTTAAGATCGTCTGTAAAACTCAGGACAGCAGAACACATTCAACTATAATAGTGAAATGGTGTGATTTTTTATTAATATATCTGCAGTGAGAGTTTTGTATTTTAATATTTTCTTTACGTCTCTATTACAAAGATGAAAGGCAAAACGCAATAGCTCCGAAATAATAGCGACGTCATTGTCGTAATAGCCTGTACACTAAGCACATTATATGTATTGGCGTTTTTAAGTGTCGATGACTCCATGGACGGCCTTGTATAAATATTTACGATAGCAAGTGCTTTAATATCATCTTGTATGAAGAACAGTAAAACAGACATAAAATTGTGAATGTCTAGCACACGTTATGGTTTTAATAGCCCCTTTAAAAAATATTGTCTTGATTTTAAAGGCATAATCCCAGAATATGGCTAAGGGATGACAGAGTCATGGATTCAAGTGGGGAAAAACCTTACTGGTTACGTCCATATTACAGGGATTGTCCTTCTGAGAAGGGGAGTGGTGGCGACAGTGGGAATGGCATATGAACCCAAAACTACTATCGTTAGAAGGGCATCTCTCCCTTGGCAACCGATACATTTTGTGTATATCTGATCAGCCACGGTATATGTTTAACACTGGTTGAGCAATATGATTATCCTAATCAAAACCAGGACTTGCGCAAAGATTCAAAATTCCGTAAGCAAAGCACGCCATTGCTTACCCTGTACACAGCCCCTGCTTCAGAGATACCCGTATGATGATGTCACAGAGGGCTATGCATACGATACTACACAATAGGTGTCACCCAATACCTGCAAATGGCATCAACCCAGCATGCTTTCATTGAAATGAAATTGGGTTTAACGCCCTACTGTTCTGCCCCAACCCGGATAATGAGGATACAGTTTGATATGAGGAGTATTTTGCCCGGACAGCGACGCTACGCCCTGTGTCCTGCACCGCTGGAAAGGAGGAGCCACGTCGGAAAATATCGATGAACTTTCTCGCCCATTTTCAAGTACACACGAAGCTGCAGAAAGTACAAGCGGAATTCTAGCGTTACAAACGTATGTCCTAGTTCTGTAAAACCACCGGAAGCCATGCGATAATTAATCGAAGAACTAAATAAACTGTCTGTTTTCATGCATGGAGTGCTTCAAATGTTAAAACTGGCGGCTATGTGTGAATAATTAACTTTATTTCTATGTTTGCGTATATAGTAACTTTGTTTATCAGGTTCATTCATTTCACGTCAAAAGTTCCTACAGTGAAGTAATTTAGGTCGTCGTTTGTAAACAGCTCAATGTTTTGAGATAAAAGTTATAAATAAGGTAAAAATATTGGACTTTCTAAACACCTTGTATCAGTGCAAGAGTACAATAAAGGTAAACTTCTCAAAGTACGAAAATGGGTAATGACTTGCAAACCAGGAGGTTCAGAGGTTTCTCCCTGTGTTTAAAGTCGGAAGCGTTTGGACAGAGTAAACATATCCTTGGCAGAAACCGATGCTACTGGGTTAAAACATTATTTATAATACGAATCCCTCGTCTTAAAAATGATATATGGTCTTACAGAAATAGTACTACATCCGCCATTTCTTATAATTAAAGATACATTATTTAAGATTTAGATAAAGAGCTAGCCATTCTTGCTATAATAGTTCGAAAATAGATAATGTAAAATGAATAATTTGAAAATTTCATTCAGATTACTCTATTGCGAGCGAAGATATTAGCCTTTGAATTTTGACAAGACGTGTGCAATAATTTCAACCACCGTACTGGTTGTTTGAAGCTAAGTCTCGCTTCTCCATTTTTAGCTTAGCAAAATTTTGCTGAACTGTTCTAATCTATTTAATATCAGAGAAATCCGATGCCATCGAGAGTTGATTATGGCCTGGATAAGTTAATTAATGTCTAATTAATAATTTAGTAAACATTTCAGGCCTAAAGAAAGACCCGCAAAAGGCAGATTTAGCTCTTGTGTAATGTATGTTTAAGTAGTTTGTACTTGGATTTTAGAAGCCGAATTACTGTACAAAAAATAACCTGGGTGTAAGCACTTACCAGCACAGTCACTAGCCACTAACACATTCACTAGCAGAGGCACGAGTCAATATCCACTAGTTAAGAGTCACGAGTCACTAGCAATCAGATTTACTAGCCATTAGCCACCCGAGTCAGAAGACACCAGCAGGGTCACTGGACCAACAGAGCCACTAGTCACTAACCAACATAATAGTCACTAACCACAGAGTCACTAGCATAGTCACTAACCAACAACATAGCAGAGTAATTAACTACCAGCACTAACTAACAATTGAGTCGGTGGTTCTCAGAGGAGTACACGGATATGGATTCTGGGACTACTACTTTAAAAAAAAACATGACCCAATTCCAAGCTCACTCTCTCCCTCCCTCGTAATATTCCACGTCGTGTTTTTATGGTTTAATCAAACATTTGTTGTCAATATTGGTCGTAAATTAACTTAAAATAATCCACAGTTTACACTCTATTCACATTATATTGATCGACAAAACTAAACATAGCAAGAAAGAAGCAATACGGGCTTTTAAATTATTGTTATTTCATTGACAATACTTTTATTCACATTTATTAATTTTACTCATGAATGAACGTTTTTTCGTTTCAGTAAATCAGTATTTCGTTCCACATGCTTTTGTAGTTTCTCCTTGTTCATTTAACTTGGACTTGCTATATTAAAGCCGAATTCACATTGACAATACTTTTATTCACATTTATTAATTTTACTCGTGAATGAACGTTTTTTCGTTTCAGTAAATCAGTATTTCGTTCCACATGTTTTTGTTGTTTCTCCTTGTTCATTTAACTTAGACTTGCTATATTAAAGCCGAATTCACATTTAGTCGAAATTACGCATCTATAGGAAATTTTATTCGCTAAAATATCATGACATCGTTATAGTGAACAATGGCTACATATTGGAGGTGTGCAGAATAATCTAAAGAAATAACTCTAGGGGTCTAGACTGAATTACCATAATGCTTCGCGTGGTTCAACCTTCGAATGTACTTTTTGCCCTTATCTTTTGTTTATAGTCTAAATTATCCAGTCTAGTCGTGATGATGCAAATGCAACATGTGTATATAGTGCGGCCCAGAAAAAACCGAGTACACTATTTAAAATGTAATAATTCAAAAAGTATTAATATACCTATATCATATGTCGTACAATTATGGATGTTTGACAACTTCACTCCAAATTGTGGGAGGGGCTTTGGCTATGAGCTAGTGGAGGCTAACTTAACAAAACAGGAGCTACTTACCTTTAAATGCTTCATTTTTTCGGGTATTTCTGACGTATCTTTGAAAGCTATGGTAGGTCTTAATGTGATGTTGTCCACTTCAAAATGTTCACTCATATCAGTTATTGCCTGAAATTAGATAGAAATTTTAATCTAAATTCAATTATTTCCTAACATTAGATATGATATTTATTTTAACGTAATTAGATGGGAATTTTATTTTAATGTAATTAGATGCGGATTTTATTTTAATTCAATTATTGCCTGAAATTAGACAGGAAGTTTTTATTTTAATTCAATTATTTCCTGTAATTTGATAGGAATCTTATTGCTAATTCAATTATTGCCTGAAATAAGATAGAAAATTTATTTGAATTCATTTATTTCCTGGAATTAGATATGAATTTAATTGTTATTTCAATTATTGCCTGAAATTAGATAGGACTAATACTATAAATGCAATTATTGCCTAAAATTAGAAAGATTTTACGCGATATAATATATGTTTTCCAAATGGTACTTGCGATGCATTCAGAGATTAAGCGTATTAGTAATATCAAACTTTAGTTGATATATAATTGGCAGGTTGTTTAAATTAAGAAGTTTTATTGTATCTTTAATGATGCATTATGTGTGAGCTAAATCTGCATACTACTGCAGGTCTTTTTTTCTGGCCTCAAGTGTTATGCTAATTGATAATTAGACATTTATTAAAATTTATTATTTTTTGAATGGATTTGAACAGCCTCGTCATATTAATAATTTAATGGATAATCGAGACATTGTTTATTATTGTAGCAATGCAATTGGCGATGGTCACTATCTGGTGAAAACTTCAAACACCCATAACTTCGGTCAAAATAAGGTAATTTATCTAAACCTTACATAATGCATCTTTAATGTCTTGTGTTTGCTACTTCATCACGATAGAATGCTTTGTTTGGTTTAAAACATCATCATCATCCCGGTTGGTGCAGAAAAGTAGGACAGTAAACCCCATTTCGTTTCGTTTCAAGGGATGACTTGGACTTGGCCTAATTTCCTCAAGTTGAACAAACACATCGTCATCGGTTTTAACGTTAAGTATTATAAAGTAGTTGCTTGTAGCAATACAAAAACTAATCAAAATGAATGAATAATAAGAAACATCAATCGAGCAATGTCCTTTTATTAAATGTTTTGATAAAACACATCATCGGATTTTAAGCTAGATGGTATCTTGCATTCTCAAAGTCTAAGCACGTAATTCGACTTTCATGCCTTTTGGTAAGAAATTTAGCTTTGTTATTTTTTTTTTATTAATCCCGCAAATTTCAAAGATGACAAAAAGTTTTTATGTAAAAAATATTTACTAAAAACTGTCAAAAAATAAATAAAACATATTTGTTTCTTATTTTATTTGGAATCTGAATTAGTTTTGTCGTTTATTTATAAAAAAGGTTCATATGGCACTGGAGCAGGAGATCTCCATTCCTTTTGATAGAAATGTAGCATAACACAATTGCTTTCGGTGCGATTGAATTCCCGGCTATGTTCTTGCAACTTCCGCAGTAAATATTCGCGTGGTCGCTACTATCACTGCAGGGGGTGACATCGTGACGGGTTAATTAGCTCTCAATATTAACTTTACTTCTTCTGCAAATTACATTCTAAAACAATGTTATAAATTATTAAGAGATCAAATAAAGGTGTTGGAAGTTTAATAATGACCTAGTTCGGGTTGAGTGGACGTAAAACTCTCTCTCTCTCTCTCTCTCTCTCTCTCCAAACAGCCACCCTTGGATACAAATCATCTACATAATTGCTCAATTTAATTTATTTAGTTAAACTCAAGTGTATTGGCTAAAATTTGATCGAATCCAAACTTATGCTTTCAACTTCGAAATATACTCACTAGCGCATATAGGTCTTTATCTTCATATAAGGCTGCCACGGTGTTCCACCGGAAGTGTTGTATGAACATGCGCCTGGCCGGATTAAGGGAAGAATCTCCTGGAGATAACCGGAAAAACGTGCTGTACTTCAGTCGCTCGCTTAAAGCAGGCGACGTCGTTGCATGAGAAATCTGAAATGGAAATTAAACAAATTTAATTTTCGAAACATCGATTGAGATGTATTAAAAATATACAATGCTTTAGCCCATGCTATAAACCTTGAAAGAATAAATTAAAAAATGGAGTTTAACGTCTTATATGTCTGCACCTACCGGGCTATAAATGAATACGGCATTAGGACACGCAGTGTGCTACGAGAGCAATTTTGCCACGACAACGGAATTACCGCGTGCACTTATTTCGATGGTATACATGGGTTGTCAGTGTGTCGTTCCTATCCGAACGAAATGACGCTTTTCCGGCACCACTGCCAATTGGAAACCCATAACTGAGATCGAACCCGGCACCTCTTAGTGAGCCAGCACCACACGCACTGGGCCACTGCGGTTTTATGTCAGCTTAAACGGCAAATTGTGTTTTCAGACCATACACAAAAGACAAATGGATCCAAAATTCATCAACCCGAGCATAAACTAAGGCCATCTGAAGCTGATATATATCATTTCTATTGATTTAGGTCCATTATCTTTTTGATGAATTAAATAATTGCGCGGAGACAACAAACTCAGTTGGTTAGTCAGGTAATAATGCTCCTTGTCACGTACGACCCCGTGGTCGAACCCATTACCGGCGTAGATAACAGACCGTATGGTCTGCAGTGTGTGCTTTAGATCAGATCTGTTTACACACAATGACATAGTGCAAAATGCAGTATTCTTGGAAAAGCAAAATGATTATATATTGTTGAAAAAAAACCACATGAATTCAATCCAAGTCTGAAAGAGCAAGCAATAACCACAACTCGAGAACCTGCGCCCTACAAAATCATGGCTAAATCACAGTCATACTCCGCCCTTTTCATGGTATTGATCAACCATCGACTACAACAAATGTACACATGGGTAAGAAGTGAAGATTTGACCATCTTATCGCTTTCATTAAATAGGACTCAAGACGCATTTGAAGTGGTCCAGGAGTGAGTTAATGGCCAGGACGAGGAGAATAATTATTACACATGATATTATTTTTACCTTTTAGTGCTAAGAGTTAGCCAGTGTATCAACATTTGTGTACTTAATATGAAATGAAATGAAATGGAGTTTCACGTCCAACTGCTCTGCTCCAACAGGGCCGTTGAAGACAAGCATACGCCACAGTGTGCTATGAAGGAATAGTTGCACGGACAGCGGTGCTATGGCCTACTCTTATGTCGATTTCAAATTGGCAAGGCTTCTTTTACGTGCACGTCAATGTGTACACGGGACCTCGTTTTTTTGTACCATCGGCACAACTGTTCATTGTCATGCCCTCTGTCCTGCACCATTGCAGGTGAACTTTCTTGACCAATACCGGGATCGAACACGGGACCTCTTCTCGTTTTCGAATTCCAGCTGTGCCAGGTTCTTCAACCGAAACCCTAATACGTTTGAGGAACTTCGGTTGGTCGCCCGATCTGATATGCAGATATCCGAAATGACCGGGCGTTGACCGTTCTGAACTAAGTATACTATAGCCATACCGTGTTTTAGCACACGACAGATTGAACATAAAATTGAAGTTTAAACTCGTATTGGCCAATACTGACACACCATTAAGAAACAATGACACATTAAAGTCAAAACTGACACACGTTTGATCAAATACTGATCATTTAACCTTTACGGACTGGTAGTCTAGACTGTAGAAACAATAGCTTTGGGGTAAACATTATTTGAGATTATCTGCTGTCACAAATTGTGTACGTTTTACTTATACGGTTCCTTTGTTCGATGATTTATGCTTAAACTACTTGATCACAAAGTGTACATAGTTTTTCCATATGAATATCTACAAAGTTATCTTATTTATCATATTAGTAAATATTAAATAACTAAAGAATAATTTGATTAACGAAGAGGTTCATTGCGTCTTTCTTGGAGACCAATATTTTAAATTTTCTCATTTTGTGTGAAGCCTGTATTCATTCTGCACACTTCATACTTTGAGAATAGAGCTCTGCCCTAAATTGCCGCCATATCCATAAATTAGTATACTGTTTTATAATGCGCTTCAACTCAGTTTTACATCTGTCATACACCAGTTACTAAATGAACACAGAATACATAATTATAGTAAAATTGTCGTTTAAGGACTTAAAATGTCGGTCAACTAGATTAGTGCCTGTTCTCAAGCGGAGCTAACTGTAGAGAGACAGACAAAGTTTAGTATGGCCTGTATACCCGGGAATGTACAGCTTAGTGGGCGCTTATGGCTGGCCCCTGGACCTGTTTACGTGATTTGATATTTGCAGTTTATTGTTTGCAATGTCTATGTTGTTTGTCTTGTCTGCAGGTTCATCTTGTCGCTGTTGTTTTGCGTGTAGTGCGGTCCTTGTGCACTTACTATAAGACAAACATAAACATAAAAATGTCGGCATACATATAAAAATGATATTAAGGGTTTTAACTGTCTGTTAGGACTCATTATTAATCCATAATTTCATAATACACTGATAGAATATTTATACCGTGGGCTATAATGGAATGCCCAGACTATGGATAAACATTTGCATTTTCTTATTAAAAGTGCTTTATCTATTTGGCTCACTGATCATAAACCGAGCTAATGGTATTTAATATAAAATGGGGTTAAACGCCCCACTTTTCGGCACCCACCGGGCTGATGCAACGTGCTATGTGGGAATTTTGGCCTTGGCAGCCGTGTTACCGTCTGTAATCGTAAAGGTTTATTTTTCGAGTACGCCAATTACTTTAGTAATACTTCAAGGGTGCCCCCCCCCCCCCATTTTACACTACTAACAAGTAGAAATCAGGCTAAATAATCGAGAAAAACTGTCTCGGGCCACGCCATGATCGAACCCGGGACCCCCTGGTTAGCCAGCCAGTGTCAGTTAGTACAACCATCCCCGACACAATCAGCATCTTATAATCAGTACACGAGTCGTGTATTCTTTGGTTTTGAATACACCATTTGTAATACCCCCCCCCCCCCCAAAAAAAAACCCAACATATCCTACGAGTTAATTCAGATGTAATTATTAATGGCCGATTCACAAACGACAGAATAATAATAAAATGCATGTGTGAATAGTTTAAGCAGGCGTAAACGACTGTCGTTCAATTTGAACTGTTGACGTATTTCATCCAACCATATTGATTAGAACTAGAATTACAATAAAAGAAATAAATACTAAACCATTTTATATACATTTATATTACATTCATATTTGCTTTGGGACCCAGTTTCGTCTATTTTTTTGTTCCATAGAATGAGCTATATGCCTTTTAAAGTAGTCGTGAGCACTAGGTCTGAAGTTCATAAATAATTGAAAGCAAATAGTCTTACTACAACGGTGTAATTTTCCGGGTAATTTGATGCTCAATTAGAAGATTGCAACCAAAGGCAGTGTATTTCATTGGTTTATATCAAGGAAGAGATTGTGATGAAAATGTCTAGTTAGTACATGTCTATTTTGAAATGTGTTGATATTTAGTTTTAGTAAATGACTAGTAATCATTGAAGGGGAATAACCATACAGGGATGTTTTTAGATTTTACGTGAGTCGCTTTATTACCAAATTGGGTTTTTCAGTAGGAGATGTATGGATAACTAATTACTTTAAACGCCCCAACTTTATCCAGATAACAATTTCAATGGTAGGGATTACACTGAATAGATAAAATGAAATGGGGTTTAACGTCCTACTGGGCTAACAAAGACGGAAATGCACCCTGCAGTGTGCTTTGAGGGCCAATCTTGCTCGGACAGCTATTGAATTCTGTCAACTGTTCTTTTACGTATACGCCAACGTATACATGTGACATCGGTTTATCGTCCTATGTTGCCCTTGCCCGGCCCTACGTCCTGAATAAAAAAAAAGTGTACAACAATGGTTGTCGACGTTTTTGTCCCATACGAAGGACTGGGCGCGCTTTGCTTAGACAGTTCTTCTCAGTCTACGTCGATATTCGAAGTCTGAATATAGCGTTCGAGATATCAGTGCCCTACTAACCACCCGTCTTCATGCTCAGTTGAACGCTAAACCCCATTTCATTTTATTTCTTACTAACCACTCTACAGTAGGGGGCCCACATAGTAAGCAATCAATATCCATCTGCCCCGTATTACAATAGGGGTTAAGACAAACTAGGTCATTTCGGGACTAACAAATGGTCCAGTTTCATTTCAATAATTTGCTTGGGGTCCTTAGCTGTTGATTAAAATACAGATCTAGATTTCGTTTCGTTTTTTCATACTTTCGATGACCTCCACTACATGATGATCTTACCGGTAGTAGGATGGGGGTGGGGCGTTCATACGACCGTATGGCGCCAGACATTCAACCAGCATTAATATTTCTAGTGTTATACCCACAGTTTCGTGCACCTCACGCCAAGAACTCGCCGCAATAGACCGTTTCATTAGTTCACCCCTCACAACAATCAGAACGCGGGTTATGTAACAACTCTTCCAGTGTAGTAAAGACAAGAAATTTGATTTATAAAAAACGAAACGAAATAGGATCTGTTTTTTAATCAAATTGCCAATTTGACTTTCAAGGGTTCCCGATCTTCTCAAATGATCACCATGCAGCATTGTGCATTAAATAAAAGGCCAGGCAAATTATTATATAGCATTCAAAATAGCAGTTTAATTGTAGGTTAAATCCCTTGCAGTAAATGTACTTTAACCTAAATATCATTAAAAATAAATTTGCTTCAATTATGTTTTATCTGGTTTTCAAGACGGGGTTGTATTCGGATTTTAGCCGGAAGACAACTTGGTTTAAAATTGCATTTAATAAGACAATTTATCACAATCGTAGAGCATGTTGGTTAAAGTTCCTTTCTCTGCCCATCATTCAAAGTGATCCTGTAATTTAATGGAACTACTTTTTTTGGTATTAATATTCTCAGTGTTATTCTAATTCCTTTGTTA